GTGGCAGTGGGCATCGGCCCCCACTGGGGAGCAGCAGGTTGCTGCCGAGGCGGATAATCCCCCGCACCCCTTCCCCTGCCCTCCGCAAGCCACCTCCCAGGGCTTCCCAAATGAAAAAATATTGCGGCCAAGTTAGAAACACACGGATCGTCACTAACCAAATTGAAACTCTTATTTTCCTTCTCTATTTGACCGGCTTTGCAGCCGTCGGGGGAGGATTTATCTCCGCTGTAAACCCAAGAGCAAGTTCAATCTTGTTTGTACCTGGCAACAAATCCGGGTTAAGCTAAGGCCAGTGCTAACGGCTCCCGTTCACGCACCGGGGCTCCCGCTCCGCAGGCACCGATGTCACTCCAGGAGGGATGGGGACTGGAAAAAAAAGCCCGCCGTCCCCACGCATCCATCCGCTGGAGCTCGTCAATCCACCCTCACCACCAGGCTGGGGGTTCTGCCCAATTTCTGTGGTCCCACGCTCTCGGGATGTGCCCCTGGGTCAGGGGCAGAGTCGGCAGAGATTTGCCGGGCGCTGCGGCGGCACGGGGACCGTCCCCTGCGACGTGCCCAGGGTGGCCTTGCTCACCCCACTGCTGGCCACGCTGGGCATCCCGGTGGCCACGGTGGCCACGGTGGCCACTTGTCCTGCGTTGGCTGCAAGGCAAGGAGGAGGGGGACATGCCGGGGCGGTGGTGTCCCCAGCAGGGTGCAGCTGGAGATGTCAAAGGGATCTGAAATTCATTCAAGGAAAATTCCTGAGGGGAAGGAAAAAACATCTTCACTGAGTCTTGGGGGTCCCCCTACGGTTCTGCCGTTGCTCCTTACTTACTACCAGGTTGGATTTACTCTGATTCGGCCTCGCAGTGAGCAGGAGGGACGGTCCGCTGGGAACGGGGACCCTCTGGGGCGATGGGGACCTCCCCAGTGGGGACAGCCCCCCCGTGGGGGGACCTGATGGAATAACTCAGGACACACCGGTGAAGAACAAAATAGGACTTGGACTGGGTTATATTTTAAAATGCTCATATATTTTCTTTTTTTTTTTCTCCTTTTTTCTTTTTCTTTTTTTCTTTTTTCTTTTTTTTTTTTTCACAATTCTAATACAATTGTTCATCAAAATACTGGCGTTTCCAGCAGCAATTCTTTTTTTTTTCTTTTTTTCCTTTTTTTTTTTTTAAGTGAATAATAATATACGGTAGTGATTTCACAGTAAAACAGACCTGCGGGAACGCCGGATATATGTGACAAAAGACACCCCCAGACCAGCCTGCCCCCTCCCCCCACCCCCCCCGAAAAAGATTTTGGAAGTGGGGGAAAAAATAAAAAGTTCATTCAAAAAAATTATTTCAAAAGAGATTTCATATAAAGCCTTTAAAACACGGTCAAAAGTTTCTCCCTCTTCTCCAGATCCCTGTCCCTGTGGCTGAATGCTTACAGAGAGAAAGAGAGAGAGAGAGAGAGAATAGAGAGAGTTTATAACAATCTCTGTAGAAGAAACAAAACAATCCAGAAAGAAAATATCCAAGAATACGTAAGGGATAAAATTACATTTGTACAAAAATAGATTTTAACTTTATTGATGCTTTAGATATTTTTCCTTATCTTTTCTCTTTTTTTTTTTGTCATTCTAAATTTTAATGTATTTTATTTTTTATCTATGCATCCCATAGCCAAGGCATCCATCACTAAGTATTGGGAATTGCTAAAGCTATTTTTACTCAAAACCACCTGCTGCTCAAAAGAAAAACAAAAAAACAAACAAACAAAAAAAACAAAACAAAAAAGCATCTTAAAATAGATGCAGTTCCTTTGTCTCGAGGAATAAAGATCCAGATTTGGCATCTGCCAATTCGGAAAGGGCTTCAGATACAATGTACTCGCTTACATGAAGCAGAAAAAAAAAAAAAAAAAGCAAGAAAAAAATAGGAAAAAAAGAATCGACTTAAAACAACCCACAAAAAGTCTGTAATTGCTACGGTTATAATATATGTATATGTGAGTGAGGATATTTATACAGTGTATATATCTACAGTACATACATGTATACACACGCACATATGTATCAACTTAAACCAGATCATGCACGCTCGTCACTGATGGGGACAGCATCAGCTCTTGAGCCACGGTCCCACCATCTTCAACCCTTTTTACGACCAGGACCCGAGCCCAGCCAGCCACACGAGGACGGGGCGGGTGGGGGGACCGCCGGGTCCGAAGTGCGGAGAAGCTGCCGGTGAGCTCGGGGGGGTCGGTGTGGGCTTCCTACACCCATGGGTGCTGGGGAGATGAAGGTGTTTTGCCCCTAATTCCATTCCTCGGGTCCCACCCGGCAGCGATGCTCAGCCCTTCGGTGAGGGTGGATGCTCGGGAAGCTTCAGCATCCTCCCGGGGTGGTCCACGGGCGGGCTGGATTCGGCTCGGGTTTGGGTTAGGGCTTGGTTGAAACGCGCACAGGCAAGAAGGCAGTGAGGAACATCCAGGGTGGCAGGTGGGTGGCTGAAAAGCTGATGTTTGTGCTATCTTTAGAAAATTAAAGATTGTCCCACCAACAAAAAGGAATTAAAAAAAAAAAAATTAAAAAATAGATCACCCTAATCAAACCAGATTTTTGCAAGAGTATTAAGATCTGGTTAAATGAAATTTCTACCTCTCTAGTGAATAATGTGCCTTTTTTTTTTCTTTTACCCATGTATCACCTCTTCAAACAAGCATGTAGTATATTTATAATTATTATGATGAGGACAAAAAAAAAAAAAGCCAAAAGTGAAAAAGAATACAAATGAAAGTCTCAAACTCATGCAAAAGCACATTGCTTTAAGGCTGCTGTGGCAGATGTTACCGGACGCACAAAAGCTTTTCCTTCTGCTAGGGAGGGCTGGGCTGGTGATGTTGGAGGGGGATGTGCCGGGGTGGGCTGGGGTCCAGGCTCTGGGGGTTGATCACACACGTTCAGGACCCACTGGCAACCCAAAATGCCCGGTGTGGCTGCCGGGGGAAATCAGAAGAGCTTCACCGAAAGCAACAGAGCCATGGTGAGTTACAGCAACGTGGGGGCTCCCTTGACACCTGCCCAAAACAGAAAGCCCAGGACAATGCTCAGCCTTTCCCCAAAACCCTCCTCAGCCAGGGGCACAAACTGAGGCTGTGTGCTGCTCCAGCAGGGAAACTGAGGCACGGAGACACGCGTCCTGACCGAGAGCCCCTAGCCTGCAGAGCCTTCCCCTTTGCACCACGCTACTTGCTGAGAACACCCCCTCGGTTGTGGCATTTGGTTTTTTAGTGGGTTAAATGCTAACTGGGATGGGATGGGATGGGATGGGATGGGATGGGATGGTAGGGCATGGCATGGGATGGGATGGGATGGGATGGGATGGTAGGGCGTGGCATGGCATGGGATGGGATGGGATGGTAGGGCGTGGCATGGCATGGTAGGGTGTGGCATGGGATGGGACGGGATGGGATGGGATCTCCTGCTCTGCAGCCCAGCAGTGCCCAGGGCTGCAGCCGGCCAGACCGCAGCCTTGCAAACCACCACAGCTCAGCACCCAGCACCAAGCAGCCCCTTCCAAGCCATCAATCAGGAAAGACGCAATTCCACCCAACGGAGGAGGACAGCGGGTTTATTCTAGTGCAACGCCCGCCGACTCTTTCACAAAGCACCCTCATCCTCTCCGGCAAGCAAGCTCCAGGCTTCTTTCCACCGGCAAGAGCCAAGCTGGGGGCTGCCGGCTGCCCTGGGGCTGGTTTGGCTCCGGGCTGAGCTCCGTGCCGAGCTCCGTGCCGGCTGGCTGGGAGCAAACACCTCCCTGCAAGCCCCCCGTGGGGCTGCGCCAGCCTTACGCTGGCAAGGAACAGCCTGCTCGTGTTTACTGGCACCCTTTACATATTTCATTTCTCTTGCCTAGTTTTCTTGGCAAATTCTTGCAGGGTGAAGCTGTTTAATAATATTTTCGGCGGCATGCAGGCTGCTGGAGAAACGCAGCCAAAACACTTTCCCTGCCTCTGTGGATTTGCCACTTCAGGCCAGCCTAAGGGAAAGTTATGACCTGAAATCCTGAGTATTTATTTAGCAATGAGATGGCCTGGTTAACTGCAGGGGATGGAGCCGGGGACTCGAGCTGCCAGGCGGGATGACGACAGGCGGGTGACAACTGTGTCCCCTCAAAAATAGAGGTGGGAGCTGGTGGGCACTGCTCCATCCCCCTCCAGGGACAAAGGAGATGTTTGAAGAGCCAGCTACAACCCACGGGGAGCAAGAGAAATACCTTTGGGACCTAATACTTTGCCGTTTTAAAGCACAGAAGACATGAAAGCGGTGGGGAAGCCCTTGGCCCCAGGGCAACCGCAGGCACCTCGTTCTTGGCTCCGAGCACCTGCCCCATGGTGTGTTCGGGACAGTCCGTCCTGCCAAAGGGGAAAAAAACCCTCCCCAACATCCCTCACCGCTTGCTCTGCTTTTTTTTTTCTCTAACTCATTTTTTTCAGCAGGGCTCTGGAGACACCTGATGAGGGTGAAATGGGGAGGCGAAGGGGAAACGCTCCCTGGCTGACCTCCTCTCCCCACGCGCTCCCCGGGGAATCCCATCCCGTGGGGTGTGGGCACGTTCCTGGGACAGTGTCCCTATTCCCCAAAAACCTGCCCATCTCCCTCCTGTCACACCAAGACCCAAGGAAAGGACCGTACAAAAGCTGAGGTGCTTTTGATGCTCTCAGCATCCCTGATGGGCACGCTGCCCACGCGGGCAGGGGCTGCTGCCACGTCCCCCACCCAGCCGGGACTTCTCAGCCCCCGCATCCCTCCCCCATGGCAGAGATTGAGGGGACGGGGAGCCCTGTTCTTGCTTCACCACTAATTAACAGCCACAATTACCAACCTGGCCAAGCACTCCCACTAATTGTCGCCTCGCAGTGTTTTTGCACGGCAGCTGCTGAATCAACAGGAGCAGGCTCCTGGGCGAGCCGAAACCCCCGCTGCGAGGCGAGGGCTTGTGCCAGGCGAAGCCCAGGGGAAACGCCTGCTGGTACCTGGGGGTGCTACGGACCCGGAATGCGGGCACGGAGGGGGTGTTTTTGTCAAGCCCACCCCATCGGCTGGAAATGCCCCTTCAACCTCACTAAACAGGGTCAGGACCAAAAAAAAAAAATCAAGGAGCCATTGCGGACATGCCAGCTCCTGCTGCTCCAATGCAACAGCCCTTGAAATAAAGCGTGGGTCTGGCAGGACGGGCTGGACCGAGCCTCGCGAGTGGGGCTGTGCCGGGATGCTGGGCAGAGTGGTGAGGGCAGGGGGTCCCAGCAAGACCCTGTGAGCTGGGGAAGGGCGATGTTGAGTCCCTGGCAGCCTTAAAGCAAGTGCTCCAGCCGGCTCGTGTCTGCGTGGGCAGCTCCAGAGTGAGCGCAGAGGCACCTTTGGGAAGAGCAGCGATGCCCGGCTGCCCTCTGGGACGGCAAAAGGGGATTTTTTTCAGGTGCTGCCGCCCGCGGGATCCCCCGCAAAGGGGGTGAGAGGGTGCCCTGGCTGCCTGTGCCAACAGTCACCTCGTTATTTGGGGGATGGGATTCAGCTCAATCCCAAATCCTCTGCTTTTAATTGAAAGGAGAAGGCTCTGTGCAGCCACGGGTGACTCATTCACGGGGCACGGGCTGGGCCGCCTCTCCAGCCCGCCTCTCCCTCCGTGAAGTAACTACCGAGACTACTAATAATAGTTAGAAACCAAAAATAGAATTCTTTTTTTTTTTTTTCTTTTTTTTCTTCTCTTTTTCAAAAACTCCATCCTCTGAAAACAGCCAGCTGCAATCCGGCGAGTTCAACCACTCCCCTCGACTTGTCCAAACCCCACTGCCCCAAGGGCTGGGACTGTCCCTGTCCCCGCTCCTGCCCCACGGGAAACACCGTCGGCCGCGGCATACACGCGGGGTGATGCCAAGCCCGGCCAGCGGCTCACCCCGAAACTCATGGCACAGCGGGGGCCGGGGCAGAGGTGCGAGCCAGGGCAGTGGGTGGCAAGCTCTCTCCGCTCCCACTTCTCTACATCTAGCGCAGGGAACCAGCGAGGCAGGTCTTGAGATGCAGCAGTGACAGCAAACGGACAAGGGTGAAGGCGACGAGGAGGCGAGGACGGCAGGGGGTCGCCCCGGATCAGACGGTGCCTCCAGCGCTGGGGAGAGGAGGGAGGGACGGGCTGGGGCAGCGGCGGAGGAAAAGCAGAGGAAGGGGTCCCGCGAGACCCCAGCCGGGCGAGGGACTGACCCAGCAGCAGTTCTCTAAGTCATTTGATGGGGCGCTTCCAGCATTTCCATCAAGAAGGTGTCGATTGGCGTGTCGCCTATTAGCTTGAAGAAGAAGAGGTGCTCCAGGCATTTCAGGCCAATGGACCGGAGGGCTGGGAGACGGAGCAAGAGCTTTGCGAACCTGGGGGGGCAGGAGACATGACATGGTCAGACATCCCACCGGCAGCCCCGCTTCTGCCCTGACCCCCAAAACATCCGTGGCCAGTCCTGCTCAGAAGGGCTGGGAGTCAGACGCAACTTCTTTTGCTACCAAAGTCATGGGGCTACACCCAGAGCTGCGCCGAGAAATCATTCATTATGTCCCCAGCCTTGAAGATCAGGCAGCCACGGTGGATTTTCACAACAAACGTGCTGAGCTAGTAAAATAAGAAATGAAAGGCCATCCCTGGACTGGGGTGCACCACTGGCTTCATGCATGTGTCACGCATGTGCATTACCGTTCAGTGAGCACCCTGCGATGCTCGTGGGGTCCCTACACCGCAGATGTAGAGGAGGCACCACGGGGCCAGCCTTGTCGCAGGCAGTGGTGCAAGCAGCTTCAGCAGCTTGATCTTCGGTCAGGGAAAAGGGCAAGCAGCCGGGGAGGGGATGGAGGAGATGCTGAGTGGGGTTAGCTTGTACCTGGCTCAGCGATGCCCCTTTTCTGCACGCACCGAGCACCTTCCAGGCAGCTCCACCAGCCATCACTCCGGGCTGGAGGCACCTCGGAGATGAAGCCAATGGAAGGAGACAAGAGCTTTGATGCAAAAGCTGGAAGAAGCGCTGCAAATCAGCCGAGACACGGGGTGCTCCCCTTCTCCCTGCCCAGGGTGGGGGTCCGACAAGCCCCAGCCAAACAAAAGCCCTTTTCTCCCCAGCCTGCCCTGCCCGGCGGAGACGCTTGTCAGGTCGCACCCGAGATGCCTGCAAGAGCCGACAGGCAGAAAAGGGCTGCGCAGCCGGGCAGGGGAGAGCCAGGGGGGCTGGGGAGAGCCGACAGTGCTGCGGGAGCCAGCCGGGATGAAGGAGACGAGCCCCAGGGCTGGCCAGCCATGCTGGGGAAAGGCTGCTGTGAGTTGGGCTCTGAGGGTAGCAGGAGGCTGCGGAGCCGGGAGAAAGCCGCCGGCTCCTGCAAGGGTGCTTCGGAGCACCCCAAGGTGCCAGCCGGGGTGCCCCCACCCTGCCCGCCCGCGCCCCAGGGGTGCAGGCAGCAACCCCGGGTGCTGCGGGATGTTGCCTCCCCGCTCTCAAAATGGGGAAAAGGCCCTTTAACGGTCGGGAGTGCATTTATTTGTTTTCACTGCTGCACAATCAGGGCTTGAACATAAGCAAAGGCCGGAACCAGCTCCGGGAGAAGGGGACTCTCTAGAAAACACACACATAGAGAGAGACATGCACAAACATACAGATATTATACATGCATGCACACTTCTCTCTCCCTGTGTTTTTTTTTTTGCTGAGCTGGCGAGAACGGTGGGAGCAGAGCCAGGAAAAACAAATCAGTCCTACCATCCCATTCAGGAAGTTTCACTTTAAACCAAACCAGATGATGGCTCCAGCCCTCGGATATGTTTAACTGTGAGATAACCAGCCCACAGCACAACGTGCCAGGGCTGCGGCCGGGAGGGAATAAAATAGCCCCGATTCCCTGCGGCGGCCGGGTGTCACGTAGGCACTGTGCCCTCCCTGCAGAGGAGCAGGGGCTGGCACGGAGGCGAGCACAGCTGGGTTTTTCCTAGGAATGCCTCCCTCCATCTCGCTGCTGCAGAGAAGTTCCCTTTTGGTGTTTACACGGTGCTCGCAAGCTCTTGATGGCCGGGGACTAGGCTGAAGACACGCACCGAAGGGCGTCTGAAGAGGTGGGGAAGCCAAGCGCTCACTGCGGCGTGGAGCAGGCGAGGGAACCCGCCACGGGCTCGACCAGCCGTTTGCTCAACCACAGGAAGAACTTGTTTCCAGCCCCAGATGGTGATCACGCTGTGCCACGAGACCAGGAGGATGCAGAGAGCTCCTGAGAGCTCGGTTTAGCTCTTGTGCAACTCTGGACTCCCAGCCCACACGTTAACCCCTCCCGAGCCACCTGGGCTTGTTCCACCGTTGCCCTGCACCATAGAAAAGATGGAGTAAGGTCAGCAATGCCCAGTCACGGCTCTCAGGACAGCCCTAAGCGTGCAAAAACCTTTAAGGTCACCAAAGAAATGTGCGAGGATCACACGAGGAGGTCCCCAGCCCAAGGTCAGTGAGAGATCAAACTCCAGAGCCCTTGGTGCAGGCTACCGAACCTAAAATGCTCCCTTACACATCGCTGATCATTGAGGTAGAGCCCTGGGGAACTGATTTTTGACTGGTGGCTCAGCGACTTTGCTCAGTCATGCACAGCGGCTTCGCGGTTGTTTGGTCGATGCAGAGCGGTGCTGTCCCCGTGCCAGCCCCCTGCCCAGCCCCACCGCAGCGAGCAGCGGCGTGCGAGGGCTGCACGACTCGGCTGCGGACACTGGACGCCTATGCAAAGCCAAGAGTTCATCCCACGGGGGGAATAATCCGGGAGAGCTGCCGGCCACGATTCCCAAGGCAGCTCTCCTTGTGCCAGGTATGGCTGGCTGCTCGCTGTGAGCCCCAAGGGGAGCAGAGCTCTTCTGAAACACCCGAACAGCCAAAGTCCAGGGTCTGGGTCTGGATTTGCTTAGGAACTGCAATTTAATAATGCTTTTTGGAAGAGGAGTTGGCTTGAGAGTTGGCCCGAGGTCCACACAAACCACCCAGGAGAGGAGAGGTAATCACCCCTGCTCTGTGCTCCGTGCTCATCCCCCACCTCCCCTCCTCACCACAAAGTCAAAACACACCTTCATCCTAACTCTCCCTGCCACAAGCCAACCACGACATCCAAGAAGCCCCTTAACAATGCATCTTTTTTCATCTGCCAGCACATTGGTACCCAAAGGGGGGAAAAAATAAGTCTAATATTACTTCTGAGGGTGTGATCTGCCCACTGCATTCATTGCTGTAAAAGCATCCTTTTTTTAATTTAACCATCCAGACACGCAAAACCGGGAATGCAGGTGAGTTGCAAATCCCAGTTGTTTGGGCTGTTTTTCCCAATATTCACGCCTCAGCAATGATACGCACCAGCAGCAGTTTCCAGCGCTTTGCTTGGTTTCTCAAATGACTGTCAGTAACTTAACTGGCAGTTGCCAGCTTCAGGCTGTAACTGGGAAAATGCGCCCACTCAGCTCCTGAGCGGTCCAGGAAAGCATTCCTAATTCCCCCTCCCATTCCCAGCTGGATTGGGGGAGGCGGGGAGGGGAGAAAAGAGCATCAATTGAGGCTTTCACTTCCCAGCAATGATGCTCATCTGCCACTGAAAATTAACTCCGTGTGCGTCTTATTTTTGCTGTGGTTTGCTCTCCGTGGTTGCCAAAAGGGAAATGATACCCCTTCCCCCATGTGCTCATCCCACTGCTGCGGCCGCAGGAGCCGGGGCTCCTCAGGTCTCGGCACCGCCGTTACTGCCTGACCTTGTCCTGGCTGCACGGGAATAAACACCTCTCTGCGCTTCACAGAGCGGATTTTCTAAGGACGTTCACAGCTGAACCAGGTAGAAATGAGCGGTTTTCTCTGCAGAGAGCCATTCGCTCCCAGGAGATGCGGGAACACAGACCCCTACACGGAACGGACCCAGCACCCGCACGCAGGTGCAGCGACCCCGAGGACGGCCCTCGGACCCCATCCCGGGCTGCAGCACCCTTTGCCCAGGCTGCAGCACCCATTGCATGGGGCTTTGCATCGGCATGAGGCTGCAGGACGTCAGGGCACAGCCAGCAACTCACCTCCCGGGCTGGTCGGGGTATTTGTGTTTGCAGTATGCCTCTAGCGATGCGTACACCTTCTCCCGTAACGCCTCCACTTCAGCCGGGTTGGAGAGACCTTTCGAGTCTGAAAGGCAACGAAAGGACCATCAGCCAAAAACCTCCAGGCTTTCCAGGCAGGCAAGGATCCTCCTGTGCATCCCCCAGCCCCCTTCATCCCTCCCGGCACCACCAGACCGGGGCACAGTGTGGACGCAGGGTCTGAACCCCAGGAATTTGGGGCAGTACCTAACACCTCCCGGGAAGCGTTCAAGCCTCGAAAGGTTTACCCTGTGACGACAGATCTGTTTTACCCCACCTCACACCCCAACCCCAACCGTTCTGGCTCATTCCAGGGGTCACAGGACCCTCATTTAAAGGGTTTAAGTCGCCCTCAAGTCCTGGGCTTGTGGGATTTCTCCCTCCAGCAAGAAGCACTGCAACAGGGCTAAACAAAAAGCCCCTGCTCTGGCAGGTCCCCCGCAACACGGCGAGGATCTGTTTTTAGTAGGGTGAAAGGGACAGTCAAGCAATCGATATCCCCAAGCACACGGGCCACGGGAACCTCTCCAGATTCCCCTTCTTTTACCATATACGGCTAATCCCAAATTACAGACAATAAATTACTGGTGATTACAAGGAGCGGGGGGGGGAAGTCAAGCAGAAAAACAAACCCAAGAAACAGCAATAAACCCTGCTGAAATGCCCTGGCCCCGGTTCGGTGGGAAAGGCCAGAGAAAGAGCCATGCCTGGGCACAAACCACGCTCCTGCGAGGACAGGGAAGGGAAGGGGCGGCTGCAGATGTGGAGGTCTGTCCTCAGCTGCCATCTGCTTTTGCTCTGGAGTGACTCGCTCTAAAATATAGAGAACCCCCCAGCAGAGCTGTACAGCTATCTGCAGGCTGGCCGTTTATCTCCTGCTGCAGCAGGGCTTTGCTCTCTGAAACGCCAGAGACAACCCCCGGCACTGAACCTTCTTCTTCCCTCGGGCAGCTGGGGCCAAGGGGGAAAAACGAGCAGCGCGAAGCCTCCTGAAGTCTGTAAAATTAAGCAAGCTGCGGACAAAAAAGAAAGTTCTTGTGTATTTTATAAGCACGTTTCATGCCTTTCACCCTCTGCAGGCTCTGCACAGGGCTTTTCCAGAAATGCAGTTAATAAAAGCCCTCGGATGTTGAGATCAGGAAACAGAGGACAAGGTCCATGCTCTAACTTTGCTCCAACCCATACTTTTGTCTTAAAGGATACCTAAATTCATTTTTGCTCCTATTCAGGGACAACTGCCTTAAGCACCAGAACTTTCTTTATACAGAGTCGGCTGAAACACTGAAAATAGGAAGACTGTGTATGTGGATCAAACCAAAGCCCCTCAAGCTCAGCAGAGAACTCAGCCCATCAGTAGGAGTCAGCTCCAAAAGCAGCATTCGCCACCTCCTCAGACGATCGCAGCCAAGTCCCAGCCAAGGCCGGGCCCTGTACAGAGAATATTTCGGACCGTGAAACTGTGCTGCCCTCTGCGAAGGTGAAAACATCCCTTGGAAAGGGAGGCCTGGAGAGCAACCCTGGGCATGGATCCAGATCCAGCCCTGACCTGCAAAGGACATGCTTGTAAGGTGGCAGATGCACGTGCAGCACTTAATTTGACTTTCATTCTTGCCTCTCTTCCTTCTTGCCCTGTCCTCGGGAGTTGGGTGCCCTCGGTTATTTGCAATGGAGCTTTATAGGTAAGAAAAGGAGCCAAAAGGACACAGCATCAGCCAAGAGAGGACTGGAGAGAAGGTAACGGCATGTACCGGGGTTGAAGAGGACAATGGCTCGCAGGCAGCCTAGCTCTGTCTTGTCCATCTGCATGTCTCGCATTTTTGACACGAGTTCTGTCAGTACTCTGCAAAGGACACAGAAATCACAGGCGTCAGCGTTAAAAAGAAATGAAAAAACACCCAGGTGTCAGACCCAGAGTGAGGTCCTCCAGTGCATAGTTAATGAAGTCATGGGATAGTGCTTGCTTATACCAGCTGAGGATATGCCCTCATTTTCCTCCTGTATCAAAAATAGCTCATTAGGAACATCAATAGTTCCTGTGAGATACAACAGAGACCATAAAAACTGGCTTCATATATTCACTGAGAGGCTTTGGCACCTGAGAAAGCTGCCTAAAAATAAAAAATAATAATATAAAAAAAACCCCAACAGGTATCTAAAGGCAATTTCCTCTGCCGGTAATTTTTATTACTCCCTTTGCTCTTGCTGCAGGTGCCGGTCTTGAAATATTTTCCACTGATTGCCCAGTTTTCCCCATTAGCTCCTGCAGTGAAGTCATGATCTTGCACTTATGACCTCACAGGAAACAAATGATGTCACCCGGGTCCAAAGAACAATTTCCTTGCAAAGCAAAGAAGCAAACGTGATTTGGTTTCAGCTAAGCCGTATCAAGACGAGTCTCGGGCAGAGAGATCAGCCACCATTTAAGCAGCGTCTGGAGCCACACTGTGGGTCAAACACCCTGGAAGTCTGGCTTTAAAACACTTTCCCAAAGCACGAGATTAAAGAGCCCTCGGGATACGCATGTGGAACCTGCTGGGTATTTTGGGTGTTTTTTCATTGTGAAAATAAAATCACGTCTTGGTCCAATTAAAGATGAAAAGAAATAAAGAAGTGGCCTCCTCGTAACATTAGAAGGCATCTGGACCTCATGAAAGAGGCTTTTGATTTGCACTGAGCAGCCCTCTCCCTGACTATTTCGGGCTGCTGGTTTCTGCAGGTTTAAGAGGAAGGATTTAATGTCATTGCCTGCAGCAAGGACCGTGACATTTCCATGCACGCTGTGGGATGGACACCCCTCAGCCCGGGCTCCTCCGACCACGAGCCCACGTGCCACCGCAGCTCCATCCGACCCCCGCAAGCCGGCTGCAATGCAGGGAATGGAAGCGGACCGGCACGGGGACGTCTAGGCAAGGCGGTCCGAGACGCGTTCCCCACCGTCCATCCTTCCCCCTGCCCACCTGTCGAAGATGGCCCCGACACCGGCACTGTGCGCGCTGTTCCGGTGCACGTGGAGCCCGGTGGCTAAGAGGATCCCGTCTTTCACGGCTATGGACCGGTGGGAGAAGGAGGCGATTAGGAGCTCGTTCCACCCTGGGGAGAAGAAAACAACCAAGGCCGCAGGTTAGAGCCATGGGATCCTCGGCGGGCTTGGGAATCGGCAACGTCACTTCCCCGGCGCTAAAAAGAGAGGAAGAAACCGCTCAAGAACCGCCTTTGCTAGAGTAACGAGGCTGGATGTGGGAAGGGAGGGGGAAGGCAACCCTTTCTTGGATGTCAGGGAAGGAAAAACCGTTAAGGAACAAATGCACTAAAAATATAATGCTATTAAGGGAAGCAGTTTCCTCTATAAACCTTGCAGGCACCAGAGCAAACAGCTCTCTGCCCTGCTCCTCTCGCTGTGAACCTACAAGTGGGTGTGGAGCACCCCTCTGACCTTATCCTCTGTGCCTCTGAGCAGTTAAAAACCTATTAACGCTTTGTATCAGCTAATTGGGCTCATTTTCAGGCCATAATGGGGCACAAAAGTTCATTCACCATTATTCAGCTGTGCAAATTGGGACCACGAAAACTCTCGCTTGCAGGTTTGTTGCTTCTGCCATATAAATACTGGAAGGCATTGCCTCTCCTCTCGCCTGCCGCTGTACAGGGATGTCCCGCATCCATGACTGCTCCACTAACAGCCTTCCAGAGCTGCCTGGAAATCAGCTTTTGTCTTTATTGGTTACTGGACGTGCTACTTCAGGAGACAAGAAAACATCCTCTGAGCCAGGACACCATGGGAGCAGTTTGAGCTAGTTAGAAATGGGAAAGGGAAGGGAGATGCGACCTCCCTCCCTGCCTTCCAGCTCCCCTTCCTAATTTAACACGTCTTCAAATTCTTAAATCTGCTACCAGCCGAGTTCAAGAATGCCTGAAACAAACCCCTAACAAGAAGAAATGCTGTAAAGTTTTGAAGGGTGGAAATTTTGGTGACTTTGAACCAGGAGAGGCGTCTTCAATGAGACAAGATGGGTCTTCTGCCACCCTGGGGAGTTTCACGCTCATCATGTGGCTGATGTAACCGGCCTGAAAATGTTCTGGTGTCCAGAACACAGGGCTGCTTGGCGGGATCCAGAAAAGTCAGGATATTGGGTTTTATTTTTTTTCCCAGACTGGAAAAGCAATGCAACAACATCCTTCACCTCCTCTCCTGCCACAGAAACACGTCTTTTCTCGCTAACTGGAATAAATACAAGGTCCACGTGTGCTGTATTTACCTACTGTTGCAGAGATGGGTTGTGCCATTAGAAATGTTGACAGGGAATAAAGTTCACTCTTTCCTAAGTGGCCGCAGGATGTTTCCACCCCAATCACGGGAACATTTATTTGGCTATTTACTGGGCGAGGCCTGGCACTTGCAGAGGGATTGCAACACCGTGAAACCCAAGGAGGAAGGAGCAGAAGATGTGGGACTGCACCAGGAGCCTGCAGGAACCCTGCTCCCTGGCTGGAGAGGACCTCCCAGAGCCAGACCCCCAGAAAGGTGCCGTGGGTGCTTCCCACCAGCCGCCCCATGCAGACCCACAGCAAGTCCACACGTAGCTCCAACCGACAGAAACCAGAGCTGGTTCACGACGTCCCTCCGTGGCACCAGCTTTCACAACTCTGTCCTAACTCTCGGCCATCACCCAAACCCCTCTGCCGTGGCTCCGCACAGCCCCAGCAGTGCCAAATTCAGCCTCCGGCTTGCCAAAAACATGTGAAAGTGGTGAGGCTGTGGGGTGCCGCCAACATCTGTGCTGGGCTTATTTCAGCTAAGGAGCGCTGGATTAATCAGCATCCTTCAGCTGAATTACTCCCATTTAGAGCTGGGATGTTTCGGCTGAAATGGGGAACCTATTTCTACCCGGTGCTTTCACCAGAGCATCCCCAAAGAGCTGACAAGATAAAGAAGCAAGGAGGAAAAATGCCATATAACAACAGGCAGCAAATCTGAGTTAGAGATCAAACAAGTCTATCCAAAGGGTTTTGCGTTTCAGCCCAAGCTCTGGAGAAGCAGAGCAGATTTCTTTGACTCTTGTGACTCCTTTCTCATTAAACAAGGTGGCTGCAGCCTCCGGGGATGCTTGGACTCCTCTGGGGTAGGGAAGGCACCTGGCCACGCAGCAACCATCATCTTAACCCATCTCACTACCCAGTTCCCCCACCAGCCCTATAAAACGAACTGCAGCTGCAGAGATGTAGCGCTCAGCATCCTTTGCCAGGCTGGCCTCGATGCAGAGAAAACATCAGGTTATTCCTGTCTCAGCCACAGCAAGCCTGGAAACAAGAAAACCCAGGGAAAACAGGCTTTAAAAAGTTGGGTTTCCTTCTCTTCCAAAAAGCTCAGAGAGGGAAGATTTTTAAATGATTCAGGATTAGAGGAAAACTACTGCCGGCCCATCCAGCACCACTCCTCCAAAGATGCGTGCTCCACTTAATTTTGCCTCCAAGGATGCATGACTGAACCCGACTGACGCTCTTAGCCTAAATATTTCATGGGCAGCTGTTCTCAGCAGGCCGCTCTCCCCACTCAATAATAGATAGAGCCACTGGTTAAAAGACTTGGGGGAGGTTATCTGAGGCCCCGACAGAGACGCTTGGGGCAGGGAGCCCATCGGAGCTGCTCCAGGTGCTAAGCCCACCCCATGGCCATGGGGCTAGAGCCCCCATGAGATCTGGGATGCGATGGGGTCTGCAGCCCCCTCTCCTGCCCTACGGAGTGGCCCCTCCAGGATGCCAGCTCAGACCTGGTCCTAACAAGCACCAGCACAAAGGAGAGAACATCAGAGCAGAAAGTCTCCAGCTTTTATTAGCCTTCTTCTAAAGAGAAAGGAAAACCTTGAACTGCTGTGTTTTTGTTTCCATTTCACAAAAGAAGGCGGCAGCTTTTTGTCTGAATCCAGTTCTTCCCTGCAATATTTGCAGAAAGCCCTCAAAGATTTCTGTAGAGATGCTTCCCCTTGCTCATCCACTCTCACAAGAGGCTCTAGAGACCCTCTTCAAAAATACACTTTTTGTATTTTCCAGAGAGGGCTGTGAGCCCGCTCTGGCAATACCCACACCCACGGAAAAATCAGAGAAGCTCCTTCACCAAAGTGCTAGCAGGAGCTGCCCAGGGAGGGCATGGGACTTGGCCAAGTCTGCAGCCAGAATAAAACCCCCAAATTCTCCATTCCCAGCCTACTGCTGTAACCATTAGATGAAATGCGACTATAAAAATCTCCTTTCAGTAATATAAGAAGAGTGGAAAACCTACACCAGTAAACGGTGCGACTTAATCGCCCAGAAACCATTGAGGTCAAGGATTTCAGAGAGGTTGCAAGAGGGACTGGGTATTTGTATGTAGGGCCAAGGTACGCAGTTACACTGGTTGATAGTCAATAAAAAATTGCAGAAAGTATTAAGATTTATGCATTTGGGCTACAGTCAGCCTTATTAAACAGAATGACAGCTAGTGTTTGTGTGGTGGGAAAAGGGAAACACTGGTCCCATCACCTTTGTACTCTGGAGCCCTTATACCTTCTCCTGAAGCGACCTGGACAGACCTTGGACCGCAAGAGTTCCGGCAGTTCCTACGTTTTGTGTTGACATGAATACCTTGCACTTGGTTCTTAAAGCACTTCCCTGCCCAATTTTATGGGCATTTATGTTGGGGCACACATTTTCCACAGTAAGAAGCCAGGAACGCTGCCATCAAAGTGAATCAGCAGTGTCTGTCTACAGAGGCCATTAACCCGAGGCCAGAAGAAGGCAGAGAGAGGAGCACACACCCTGCAGGGTCTTCCCCTCTTGAATTCCCTACAAAAGTGCATTTTGGGGAAACAAGAGGAGCTTTTAAAACTACTGGGGACTTCAGAGTTCCCAGCTTACTTAGGTTTGGCTGCCAGACTGGTTCGCTCCAGGTAGCTCACCGGCTCACCCTGCTCTGAGGCTGCACCTCTGCTCTGCACCAGACTCCTCCATCATCACCTTTTGAAGTCCCTTGACTACTTTGACTAGCCAAGGTCGGTGTCTGTCATTGCCAAGCGGAGGGTCCCTGCCAGCCGTCAAGGTCTCCTCATTTCCTCTCCCAGTCTCACCCTTCACATGGAGTTTGTCATTTACTGGAAGCCACTTCATCTGTCCCACTGACAACTTGCCTTCCTCTTTGTTTAAGGGAGCAAAACTCTCCGTTGCATCAAGCCAAAGCCTTTTTAACACCTTATCTGATGATTGGAGCTATGCAAAGAGCTTCATGCCTAAAATGCATTCTCTTTGAGCTCTGCTCTTGGTTTCTTGCCCTCCCCGGTCTTTGTGCATAACCTGCCAGTAGTAGGGGCTTGAATTTACTCGATGGAAGAAGACTCTTTTCACAGCTAACTGCTTTTCACCTCCCAAAGCCTCCATTCCTGCAGACCCCCTGCCGCACAAGGAAATTTAAAATAAGCCCAGAGAATTTTATTTTCATCTTGGTGGGTGGGAGAAGGAGGGCGATATATTTTTCTCCCCTTTCTGGTTTTAATTATGATCAAACATTTTAGTCTGATGAAATTTCATGGAGTCCCAAGCCCACCTGGTCTCTCAAGTCTCAGCCTGGGAGGACGGCAGCGCATGGCTCCCTTGGTTTAAATCACCCAGCGCACATCTCCGAGCACCTCGCTCATCAGAGACGAAGCCGGGCCATTTTTCAGCTGATTGGCAGCTGGTGCAACATTTTGGATCACATTCAGCAACACATCCCTTGGGGCTTTTTAAATCCTATTTAGCAATTGAATTATCAGAGGCTATTACTCAGAATCAGTTAATGGCTTTCACGTTGCTGGGACCTGAATCTAAGAGTAATACCTGTCACTGACGAGATGTAGCACTCCTACGGCCCCGTGCCGGAGCCCACGTGGGGACGGTTCCCACTCACCTGCTCTGAGCAAGATGACCTGGTCGTCCAGGGGCAGCTCGGAGAAGTGGGGGATCCTCTTGGCCCACTCCACCAGGGTGAAGAGCTGTTTGTCTGCTGCCTGGCATATGTTCGTCACTGGGTCGTTGGGCTGCCAAGAAAAGGAGACCGAAAGGCTTGGAGAAGGCAGAGCAAGGAGAAGAGGAGAGGCTGGAGGAGCAGCTGAGGGGCTTGCTGCCTCCCTGCTGCAGAGAAGGACCCCAAAGTCGGGAGCACCCCCTAAGTGGACATTATCGGCCACAGGGAAAGGAGGTGACTTGGCTTCTCCACCGCATGGGTTTTAAGTGGTTTTTAGCAAGCTCCAAAACAGGAACCAGGAGTGTTGAGACCCAATATCCATCACACTGACTGGTGAACCAAACTAGCTCCAGCCCAGGGATGGGCAGGCTTCTGCACCCATGCTAGCATCTCCGAGCTCGATAAACCAGCACCAGAGGGGGCATTACAAAAAACCCAGAAAAACCTTTCCTTTGAAATATTATCCAGTAACAAAAACCATCTGCTCTCAAGGAGGACAGTCAGCCTAAACACACCAAATCCCTGTTTAAAGGAACTGCTAACAGCTCAAGTGGGCTTGTGATTAGGAACTGGAAGAGCCTGTCTAACCCTGGCAAAGACAGTCCTCACTAGTACAAGTGTGTATATAGGGTTTACCTCTCTGGACAGGGATGTATGAGCCCATCCACATAGCCCACTGTAATCCCTGCTGATATCTAGCAGCTTTGATTGTACGATTATTTTTCTTCCATGTCCTTAAAAGAGCAGTTTCCAAATCGGAGGAGGAGTGTTTACTTCAGACCTGGATCGCAGGGGGAAGGGGTGTGAATTCAGAGGCAGAGCAGACACGAATGCCAGCGTAACCTCTCCCTCCTGCAAGTCTCAGTTTCAGCAGGACAAGGCCATTCCTCACCACGAGCTGACTGTGCTACGGCAAACCCTTCTCCCAGGCTGGGCAGACGAGGACCATGCTGCTAAGTCTCACTCCACCACCCCAGAGCCGTGTCCCGGACCCCTGCCCAGTCCCCTCCGCCGTCCCCTGGCAGCAAACACAAACTCTGTGCCTCAGTGGCCAATGTCTCCCATTCTCCAGGCTTAAAATAACCAGCATCTGGCAAGCTCAGGGGCACCCGCCTTCGAAGTATTTTCACCTGTTGCCTGCGGAGATGGATGGGAATGGGCTCGCGTTCAGCAGCGCAGCTGAGGAGCGGGGAGCATCGTTACGGCGATTTTCCCTCCTTGCTCTGCCCATCTCCAGCAGCTCCCCGAAGGGACACAAGGGCAGGGGAGTCTCGCTCCGAGGGAGCTGGGGCTCTTTCCTCAGGAAGGAGACGGGAGCAGGGACTGGGCTTTTCGCTGGGAGAGGGAGATAAGATGGGATTTCCTTTGGACAACAGGAAAACCCTAAACTGGGTGTGAGGAGGAGCTTTGCAGGGTTAAGTGTTACACTGGAAACACAGGGAACATCAGCATTCAGAGGTGTTTGCAGGAAGGGTAAGAAGGGACACCCGTGGCCCAGGCTATAGGAACATCACCAGCCTCAAATCGGCTGAGTTTGGTCAGCAAGCTGGAGCAGCCGGGTGGAAAACTCAGGCATCCCGGCTCCCGCGGGGCGGGATGGGGATGGAGCCCTGCATGCCCCGGAGGGGGACACGACCTACGGGAGACCCCACGCTCCAGCAGAACCTGACCCACGAAGCGACAAGCGCCTGCACAGCCCCACGAAAGGGGTATTGTAGGAAAGTTAGACAGTTTTGCCAAAGCTTTTTATCAGGGATTGCTTCTGGGAAGGTTGTCACCATCTCTAGGACTGGCTCTGATGCAGCGAGCCAGGCTCTGGGTCTCCCAGCCCAGGCTGTATCACCGCTGCTCTGCAGGCAGCACAAGCTGTACCCGGCCGTCAGTGCTTCGTACAAAGCCTCAGCGAGGGGCCCAGCCTTTAATTACACCTCAGATGGCAGTTCCTGGAACCACCACGGTGCTTCCCGGCAGAACTTAATCACCATAGCTTGAGAGGCAGCTAAAAGTATCATCCCTGGAGGCCAAAAGGACCCTGCCTGTATCCAGGAGGAGATCTGCAAATCGTTGCTAGAAACCCTCCCCGTGCACGGTAAGCAAATCCCCTCCTGCCTGCAGTAAATAGCAAGGGCACGGTGCCGGAGTGTGACAGAATGAAAGGACACGCAGGCACCTGATCCTTCTGGAAAACTGGAGCTTGGAGGCATCTTCCAGAAAATGGTGACTTGAAACCAGCGGCTCAAAGGCCAATTAAGAGCTAATGGGGATAACACCTCTCAGTTACAGGCTTTGCCTTTCAGTGGCCAGGAGCCCATCCGAGGTGGTGCTTACACTGCCGGAGCCCAGCTTCACAGCTGCCGGGGACACGGGGCAGAGGCAAACCCATCCTTGCGCCCCGTCGTACTGCCTGGGGACGGGTAGCTGCCGAGGGTGTATGGCCGGTCCCCAGCTCCCGAGGGATGGGGATTACATGGGGTCTGGGGGCTGCCTGGGACACACGGCGTGGAGGAATCCTGCAGCCATGCTTCTTTACGGCTTGGGGGAACCTCCCAAAGGGTTTATCCCCTTTGCCATGGTCAGCAGCCAGACAACCGTCACAATTAGCAGCTATTTGCAGTGTCTGAAGAGCTGTTATCAGGGGCTCTACTGGTGCAGTTACTTCAAGTGAGTGTTTTGGTGATGGTCATCGAAACGCTGGCCTTGGCACTCTCCTACCACCCACGGCAGGAGAGCAGATTTGCAGGGGCACATCCCTCTGTCTTAGCTCCTTTCTGCCTGGCTCAGCATCCTTCCCCATCCTGTCCGTGCCACCCACAAGGATCACACCCCACTGTACTCCCCTCTCCCCATCATGGGCTTCAAACCATGAATCTACCCCATCCTCTCTGGTGTCAATCAAGGCGTCAAGACAGAGCCATGGGTCCGCTCCCTGGTCACGTACTCGGAGCAGCACACTTCCACCAGCAACAACGTGTTTAGATACCAGGGCTGCTGGAACAGCTCACAGGCTGCAGCCCCCGCTGCCCTCCCCTTGTACCAGCTCCAAGGACCGTGCTGAAGCCCCACCGTTGGGTCCCACACTGTCCTAGGTGGAAAAAATCAGTGCCAGAGCCAGCCTGGCAAAGCAGAGGGACCTCCCTCAACCCAAGTTGGGATCTCTGCTCTCAGAGCAGCCAGGGCACCATGGCACAAGGTGACGGTCACAGACACGAGAGCATCTGGGAGAGAAGGGTGTTAACTCCCACCACCCTGCCACCTCCATCCCAGCCTGGCACCGACCAGTGGAAACACCCTGGCAAGCGCTGGAGCTCTCCAGCGCGCTGGCAGCATTCAATGCAGATGGACTAAGGTGCAGGGGTGCAAATAAAAGGACCCAGCGCACCAGGCTAATAGGAAACAGCTTGTTTTTTTACCTCGTGTCTATTAGGGATGGAATTTGTCTGCCTTTCCATCCCATGGGCTCTCTGGGGAGGGCTGGGTGGGAGGAGGGCAGCTCCTCCGTCTTCCCTCGCCTCATCCGGTGGCCTCGTCACTGCGAGCTGCTGATCTCGTACATCTGCTAAACCTGCTACAAATGTCACCTCATCGACAGAAGCCGCTTGACAATAATAGGGCATTTCAACAAGCCTCCTGCTTCTATTTAGATGCAACACACATCCTTGTTCACAGTAATGCGTGTTGAATTATGCAGGAACCAGCTTTCAATTTGCTACAAGAGGCTTGAGGAGATGCAGTGCCAGACGAAGCCATTTATTTCAGCTCGCTCTCTGGGGTTTGTTTTCAAGTCAGCACAACGCTGGCTACAACTCCCCTGAAGTATTTTTAATTCTGATAGCCGTCAGAGCCTCTCCGAGCCCCTCACTAACCACGGCTGAGCTGTCTCCTCCAAAAAAGCCCCTTGCAAGCTTCACGGCTGCTCTGGTCGGAGGGCATCGCTGCCTGCAGGCTGCAACTGGGCTCTCAAATGCAGGCGAGCACCATGGCCCTGTATCTCCTTCACTGAGGGATCTGCTCTGTCCATAGCAGGAAGCCTTATGCACTGAAAAGCCTCACCTAGCAAGCCAGCCGTAAACGGTTCTTGTAGGTAGAGGCCAAAAAGAGCATCCCATAGAAGCAGTCAAGACTTAGATTCCTACAAGGAGCGGCCTGACTCTGAGATCTCCTGTCAAGCCCTGCCAGATAAGGTATTCCTGGCTCAATCCTCCAAGCCTCATAGAAAGAGATAAAGTATTATTGTAGCAGAAAATAAATACTGCAGAGTCCTTCCACTTGCTAGAAATAGCTGCATTTCATCATCTCAACCTCACAGACACCTAGCACAGAGCAATAGGAAATGCAGAGGAATATTTCAGTGGATGATCCTGCTCTCCCAGAGCCCCAGCTTTACCTCTGTGCCCCCCCCAAAGGACTGCTAGGTAGCCAGGAGATGCCCCCCTACCCCAGCCTCTCCCCTTCCCAGCAGCAAGTGATAACTAGCAGGGTTTTGGGGCAATTTATACCCTCCGCAGCCCTGATGACCCCTTGCAGCGGCAGTGCTCCCTCCTGCTAACAGAGCAATGCTGTGGGATGGTGTGTGCCTGCCAGAAGGCATCGCCGTAAGGCAAATGAGAAATTAAAACACGTGCAGCTGACCCCAGCCCCAAAAGCGCACACGCAATGGTGCACGGCAATTTTTTTTTCCCTCTCCATCTCTTTGCTTTGAGTCTTCCCAGTCCCTCAGTATCCCAGGGCTCTGCCAGTGCACCCGGGGTGGGGGTAATTAGCCCCACTCCTGCCCCTACTGCTATATTAGTTGCCTGAATTGCAGTCCTACCTTTTAGGGGCATTTCCCTATTCCCACTACTTTCACGGGAATGAGGAATGGGGACTGCATCCTAAATGCTGCCTAGGCTGGGCAGCAAGTACTTTCTCTGCAGTAGGGCTCTTTATGTGGGCTTTGCATAGGGTCTGTCCTAGAAACAGAATTTCAGAGGATAGGTTGGGTCTCATATCTGGAGGTACTGCTTTGCAGGGAGGCTTTCTCTAAGCAAGGCTATAACCTGCTGATAAGGGAATCTGCTAGGAAAGGGACCAAGACAGTTTCCCTCATCACAGCTTCTCTGTTCCTATTTCCCTGTCAGCTGTCTCATGTTTACACAAGGCCCTGTTAGAGTACAGATGCTTCAAGCAGGCCCAGTTATAATACAAGCTTCTAAATGGGAAAGGAACTTGAAAGTAAACTTCTCCAGACTTTCTCTTCTCAGAGCCAAGCAGCTGTATAATTCTGCATCTGAAAAGTCACACCCTAATTTTACAGCTCTTATTTCTTTGCACTTCAGCCACACAGCTCTGTTTATTGGCTTGATTGGACTCTGAGCTCTTCAGAGCATGAAGGGTCTTCCTGCCTTTTAGCACTAAGGGCCGTTAACTAAAATAAAATCTTCTCTGTGAGCCCTTCTAATTACGCCTTACAGTATCTGTTCCTTCCCTATGGCTGTGAGACAGAAAAGTACCAATGCTGGTGGTTGCGCAGGGGCAGAGGGGTTTGCTTTCCTCACGCTTTCATCTAAGCTCACACATGGTGTCTGCAGCACAAGTTGCATTTCTGAGCTCTGTCTCTTTTCCTGTAAGCTAACCCCCTCTCTGTCCTCGGCTCGGTGCTGTATTCGTGCTAGGTCAATCCTGATGCCCCACAAACCATCCTTTCTGCCCCGTGTGCCGGGGATGGAGCCACGGGGAGAGGTGCCTTACCGAGCTCGGCGTCAAGCCCATATTCGCTTCAATGTACGTCTCTGTCTTTGGCTCCACTGCGAGTTCAGCTTCCAAGATCTTTTCCACGGGCATGTCCTCGTTAGCGCTACTTGTCGACTCCACCTCGTTCTCGTTGCGGTCCTTTCCCCGCTGCCTCTCCTCCTGGACGGCTGGAATTGGACAGAGAAGGGACAGTGTCAGCCCAGGGCTCCCGGCCACGGTGTCACGGGCTGAGCTGGGACCATGAAGCTCCACGGAGCTACGGGCGTTACTTAACCACGAAAACCTAAAGCATCCTCAGACCGGTAGGATCACACAGACATCTGATGTCTTGTTCTCCACCATTGTGGTCAGTGGGGTCTCAGGCTTGGATAGTCCAAGGGGGGTGAGGTTTGGGGAAGCTGCCGAGCAGCCCTGGTCTGGGAGAGCTGCTCCGTGTGTCCTCCCCTGGGAGAACCGCGAGGGACGTTCCCACTCGGATCTGGCCTCTGCTGGGAAACTCCCTTTTCTGCAAAGGGAGAAGTCCTGGAAGCAAAAAGGTTAAAGACGGGTGATGAAAAGCAAAGGAAGCTACACAGAGAGTCACTGCGGGAGAGGGAAATGGATGGGTACCGCCGCAGGGGAAGAAAACAAGGTGGTGAAGTGATAGCATAAGGGAATCCTAAATAAAAGAGAAATCGGTCTGTTTAAAGCGTAAGTCCAGAGTTCAAGCACCTTCTGAGCCTGTTAGTGCTGAATGTCCAAAGAGGTCATGTCATGCATCTCGTTCCCTGGTCCGGCAGTGATGCTGACGGCTGCCGCGAGGCTCTGCGGCAGGACGGTGCTACCGTGGGACCGAGCTGGGAGCGGGGATCTGCCGGCAGGCGTTCTATGCAAACCACCACCCTGTCTTTGCCTCCGGGCAATTTCTAAACTGACAGGAGAGACCTGTCCCAAATCCTGTGTGGCAGGAGTAATCTAGCCAGAAGCACGTCACATGCTGATGAGTTAATGTCTGAGCAGTACATAGATGAAAAACACTTATTAGATGCTAATAACATTATTATTAATGATCTCTTTGAAACCGGCACACACGCTTTCCCTAAACCTGGAAAGTAGTTTTATGCAGACAGTTACATCAGTAACTATCTCTTTCTCAATCATCATGTTACATACCCTAGATCACACACTTTTCCGGACACTTGTTTCCCACAGTACGTTTTAGCCCAGTCTAGTTGAGAACAGCCCAAGCAACAGCAGTTTCCATCACTGGTCATGAGAGACAACTCCCTGAACTTATCCAGCTCTTTGTTGAGGACTGAATGAGGCATTCAGTAATGTAAAAGTCCTGCTATTTATTGACAATTATCCTAACACTTTACCTCTCTGCTGAACTTGAAGCTGGTTATGTGATGTTAAGAGAAAGCAGCAGGGGCGCAGGTATTGTTCTAGGGAAATCAGAGCTGTCTGTAACACAGTAAGGCTTTTTAGGCAATCAGCGGGACCAGCTCTATGCCAAGTGCAAAAATAAAAACCTAGAATATAAAACTTATTTCTTGAAACCCAGGAAATTAAGACACATGCTAAAAGAGTCCTATATGGATGCTGATGCCATTAACCCAGCTCCACCCCAGCGTGCAAAGGCCTGGGTCTGATTTCCACTGCTCGCCCTCCCCTCCTGCAGCAGCCGCCAGTGCAGCGCTGCTGTTTGCTGCACGTCAACACTGTTCAGACTCCTTCCATGTGAAAGCTGTTATGCAAAAAGCAAGAGGTTATTTTTTTGCAAACTGCTCTTAAGTTTATGGGCTGCAGAGGCTCCCAAGGCCCACGCAACGTTTTTCTCCTTGGTCTGCCAGAGCCAGGTAAGCTGCTGCTGTCAGAGCTCAGATTTGTGTTGTGGCTTTTGTCCATCTGGCTCTTGTCTGGCACGGATTCTTCTGTTCACTTTTTCAGGCCAACATAAAAACCTGCTTAAATTTCTCCCCCCACCCCTACTCCTGCTTTCTCAATCATCAAAAGGCTAGAAATTTTTGCTTAATGCCAACCGTTCTTCAACAGCACAGATGCACCAAAACTCCTCTGGGCACATTAGAAGAGATAAAACACCTACTAAATAACAGAAAAGCCTAAGAGAAAGGCAAACCCACAACAAATGGGATTTTATAAAATGACTTAAATGCCAAAGGCCTGATGCACAGTCGCAGCAGGTCTCAGGATAAAGGTACAAAGCGTGGTTCCTTGCTCTGAGATCAACCACCTCCACCTCTGGGGCCACTCTGCCGGGAAGGGGTGTTAGTCCAAAAAACACATCCTCTTGCTCAGCCACCAGTGACTTGGGATTTGTGGGAAAGCATTGCTGAGGTTTGGGGAGACAGTGGCCACTTAAAGCCTTAAATCTGCAAATCTCAACCTCATCAAAACCAACAGTCACGTTCTTGGGGGTGAAGAATCAGATACACTTGAAGGTTTATAGCAGAGTGAATCTTACAGGTCATCACGACAGCATTTGCTAGTGATTAGGCTGAATCTAGCTGATATAAACGATAGATGGAAGAGACAGACGGAAAGAGATTACACATACAAGTAGTTCTTTCTATTGATCTGTGCTTTGAGCTGCTACACCAGAAAGTTGGTGCCGCTGCTCGCTGCGGAGCTGGTCAGCGGAAAGCTGACTCATCCCAGCCTGCGTAGCCCCACGAGAAACCCTTGACGCTCGCCCCTGCCCAGCTGGCTGCTGGCAGCAATGACACACCAGGCAGAGCAGATGGCGTATTCTCACCAAGTATGTCAGGTCCAAAGATAAACCAAGCCCTTGCCAGGGAGAGTGTTACCTGCTTTGCTACCCCTTGTGTTTCCAAGACCAGACAGCCCTCTTCAAAGCCAGGACAAGCTGAGCATCACTTTGCGATCCCCCCCTTGCAGCTTGGATGACCTCCATCCATCCCCTATCCCGGGCTCTATGGGCTGCAGGAAAGCAGGGACTGTTTCCCAGTACTGAGCTCAGAGATGCCGTTATCCTCCCTTCCCCCTGAGAAGCTGGATCACGCATAGGTCTTCACCGAGGCTGCAGGATGAGGTGACCGTCCTACGTGAAGTTCAGTTGCTGCTTACTCCCAGGACCCGCGTTACCAGGTGTTTATGAACCCGACCTGTTCCTCACTTGGAAACGATGAAGGACGCCTGCCCAGCTCTGGTTTTTGGATGTAGCTTTTGGGGATGCCTGCGAGGCAGCGACTCCTCTAGATGTTGACTCAGGGGTGGATGCTGTTTTCTCACCCTACGGGCAGCTCGAGGAATGAAGCGGGAATAGCTTCGTTCTTCATGTGAGCAACAGGTTTGCTCCTGCAACAGCTCTGTGCCTGGCCTTGGGGTACAGTTGCCACTGCACACATGAAGTCCCCTCCGATGGTCACCTTACTGTCAACTTGTTCTTCAGGTGTGGCACTCCCAAAGTCCCTCTTCAGGATCCAGAGGTCAAACGCATTTCAAATCTAGAGTCTCCCTTTCCTAGTTTTGGATTCACCCTGAAGCATCATACAGCTCCAGGGGTGGTAAGCCCATCACGTTGTCCTGAAAGGCACAGGGATCTGCATTTGGCATTCAAGGCTCTTGTACTCTGTGGGTTCCAAGACTTGGACTTCCCTGCGGATGCAGCCGTCCTTGCAGCCTGTGCTTCAGAAGCTCAGCAGAACTGAGAGGACATCCGAGGTATATAATTTTGCGAGCAGGCAAAAGTGTCTAAGAGCTGCCAGTCATGCAGCTTCATAGCAGTCCTCCATGTCTCTGATCTCCACTGGCATAAGCCTGGTGGTAGATGTCTGCAATTTACTGCAATCAGTATTTCCCCAGACCTGCTGAGGACCTGACAGGCTGGTGCTCCTTCTCAGAGATGCTGAAGGATGCATCGCCATTTCAGAAAAGAATGGGGACTGTGTTTCTTGAGATGCAGGAAAAAAGAGCAGGTGGGGTAGGGGAAAGGAAAGAAGGAGCAAGTATTCAAGCATATCAGCTTTTTTTAAAAATCATGCAATATGGAATGTTTGTGTGAAGGAAAACCTTCAGTAGTGAGGAGACCCCTCACTAAAAAAACCTAGGACCTTATCTCTGGAGTCCACTCCCCACTCCCACTGGGGATTAGTCAAATAAACCATGGTGGAGATGACAAAAATACACTTTTCAAATGGATTTGGTTTGGGAGCTAGGTTTCTTTGTGGCTGTGGTTTTTTATTTATCTTTTAAAAAGGAGGAATACAAACGTGGTAGCTGCATGGCAGCTTGTCTGGTAATATTGAAATGGGAATACCTTGTTCTCGGCTTCCCAGAAGTCTTGTGCGCCGGGATGGATGGTGCTCCATCCCTGTAACACAGTAAAATTTAGAAACAAAGATCATATCATTTGGTTCTTGTTGCTTCTGCTGGATTTTTCTCTTCTTTTCATGTAAGTTGTAAACTCACAGGCTAAAGACAAAAAAACAGAGGGGTTCTGTGACTGGCTTCTCCAACCCAAATTCTCCCTTGTGGCACAATCAATGTACATTTAAGAAAAAACAAATATTCTCAACTCTAGAGAGGCCACAAGATTCTTCTCCCTCCTGTCTCACACGTGATGCTTCGCAGTATTAGCAAGGACAGTACGCAGCGTGGCAGTTCAGGGGAGCCGGTTCTACTGCTAGCTCCCTTCTCCCGCTCAGCATCGATGCCCCCCTCTGCACTGTGCCCTTCTGCTGAGCCAGGCGGGTCCGGAGACATCCAGCTTCGGTTTAAGAGGACCTTGGGAAGACGATTAAACTACAGAGTGCCTGTGATAACAAGGCACTTGGCAGTGTGACCTACGAGGACCTTTCCAAACCTCAGCTGGGCTCTCTTACTGCAATGAGATGGTGATAATGAGGTGAAGGGCTGGAGAACACATCCCCGCGGCTGCAGGGGTGCTCCCCGGGAGGAGGGAAGAACTGGCGAGGGCTCTGCAAGACCAGCGTGACCTTCCCACCTCCCATCGCACGCAATTACTGCCTCAGCAGACGGGCTCATCTGGACAAACTACGAGGCTCGTCTCAGACGGATGCGGGGAAGCCGTCGAGAGGAGCCCGTGTCCCTAACACGGCTCAGGCTGCAGGTGTTAGCCAAGATCCACTCTTAGGACCATGCCGTTCCCAACGATGTCGATTTTTCTGGTCATGAGGGTAGCGCA